CATTCTGCTTGTTAATTCCCTTTAAGTTTTCGTGGCATCTACTCTGGCTTTTGTGAGACTTGCTTTTGTGGGACTTGATTTGACTCTTTTAGGTGCGTCCTTCGAACAACTACGTGGTCCAATTGGTGCCAATAGCCTGATCTCGGATGTTTCCAGGCACCTTTAAATTTGTCCTTCAGCATGAACCACGTATTGGTGATGCAAAGATTATACTCTGTGCATGTTGTTAATAAGCGTTCACCATTGCTTTTTACAGAAACGTTCTACTTCCCAAGTGGAAAGCAATTTAAAGTAGAACTCAAGGACCTGGAAACCCCATCCGTGATCTGGGGTGGGAATGTTCGGATTGTCACAGATATTCTAACAGGAATCTCCTCAATTAACATCTTAGTAGATTGAGGCTAAGACACAACAACTAATGCAGATTCTGTGGAGAAAATGGGGAAAGACCAGAACACCTAATCACTGAGTGCGCCGAGACAATAACCATCAGTACTATAAACTTTGATACGACTGATATTGGTGATGGACTGAGAACGACTGATATTGGAGAGAAGAACCAATCTCTGTAAAACCGTCTCAGATACTGGCTTTTGTCAAAGCCCTGAGACTGTATGATAAGTTACAGCTCAAGAAAGAGACACAATAGATCTCTAATGTTGCCGATGATTAACTTTCACCTGATCTATATAGAAGATAGCGTGGTCAATGTTAAAATAAGTCTTACATTCTTACAGATATTCTTATATCTCAGTCAGTATTATAGTCATTAGCCTGGCAGCATTCTTAATAATGAATTGAGTAAATATTATTTTCTGTATATCCATAAAAGTTTCAATTGCATTTGCCAACTTTGATCGTTAATTTATTAATTTAATTTTATAATTAACAAATATTCAGTTATATAAGCACACTATTTTAAAGGAAAATTGAGACCCCAAGGCTAGTTCGCGACAATATTTTAACTCGCAAATTGTAAACAAAATTACAACACTATAAATAACAATACGCTTTCTGCTTATAGGCGAAAATCTAAGTTAAAAGCGTTTGGAATAAAATTTGAATTTTTAAATTGACCATAAACTAAAGATAACATAAATGGGTCCGCACTGCCGAAAAAAGCCGAAAAACGAAAAGCTCCTCCTAAAATAAAGTACAAGCGGAGCCTGGGAGCACAAAATTTCTTTAAATTTATTACCGAAAGTGTATGCTTGTAGTTTTTAAAACTGCATACATATTCTGGCGAGGCGCCAGAAGAAAATACATAGTTGCTGTTGTAGTGGAAGATGAAGAATGTCGACTCAGTTAAGAATAAGGTTTTGACCGAGTAGTTGGATCTAATAAAATATGTGATTAGCAATGTCTTTATGTTAGACATATAAAATGATACCAGCAAGGTAGTAAAATAAAAATTTTATGGCTTTCATATAATATCGAACAATAAAATTTGTTAGTGGAATAATCAAACATTGGTAAGAGAGTCTTGAATGTAGCTACATTAATTTAACTACTGTAAATACTAACTAATAGTCATATTTTTTTTATAGCTAGGCTCCTTAAAAGACTCAATGTTATTGAAATTTTATATTAATATTGATAAAATTTTCATAATAATTAAAGATTTTGGTATAAAAATAGTGAAATTTTAATTCAATTATACCCAATAATATATTAAAATAAATAGTAAAATGCACGTTTGAATAAAATAGTTCTAGGTATAAATTATAAAATAACATTGCCATTTACGAAAGGATAGAACATTCGCTCACCACAGGATAGGAGGCAATGAGAATGCAAACCATCTAGCTACAAAAAAGCGCTTATGGAACTATATACAGGGTCCGGCAATAGTGCGTCGGGCATCTGTAGCTCCTAGAATAAAAAACTTACGAATTTTGTTTAAGTGTAAATCTAAAGTACATATGTTCTAGGATGTATTCCAGGAAAATATTTTAACTTCTATAGGGTGGTTCAAAAAAGTGTGAGTGGATCGGAATATTTTTTTTTAAATGGAACACCCTGTATATTATTGCATTTTTGGCTTCTTTTCAGATTACTTTCACTTTACATAATCCTAAGATATAAGAAAATATATTAAAATTATATAAGGATTCTTGCCACTTAACTGCTTATATAGAAATTTAATTCTACGCTGTGTTTGTCATAATGTGGATCAACCTGCTCTCACTATCGGTTTCGGAGCCCTACTCCATCATCAGGTGAGCTTGGGCAGATCCACAAAATGACAACCACAGCGCAGAGATAGTTAATTCCGACTTGTCGAAAAGTGTCGGTTAGATATGTCAGAGTTCGAATCCGGGTCAGTGCAAAAACTTTTTTTATTTTATTTTCGTTTATATTCTGATAGTAAGGTATTAAATATTTGTTTTTTTAATTACCAGAATTATTTCCCATATAGCACTTCCAAATGAAATTACGTTTCTACAAGGGAGACAGAAACGCAACAACATATGTTAAAGTGAACCTAAGTGTTCATCTAGTTCTAACATATGCATATTAGATACACGCAGGTTTGTATTGATAGAATTGTGTGATACAGTGTTTACTAGTTGTATACCGTATGCACTCAATATTCTAAAGTGTTTTTTGTAACGTAACAAATAATTATTAAAATGATGAAATCTGACGTCGGTATATGAGACATACAATGTATAAGTCATATGTATGTGTGATACTTCGTATCATAGTTGTGCCTATAGTACACACCTTGTAAAAATGTGACGTATACACATAATATAAATATCTATATAGACACTTTGTAATAGTGTACTGTTGTGTCTACATTCTAGCATGAAATGAAGGTGGGCGCATGCGCGGATAGCCTCAGCGTAGATACACCGACCAAGTGTATCTTATGTGGCCTCTCTCCTTTCTCATTTCTAGGAGTGGTATATGTTAGCAGCCATTATTGTTTTATCATTCGGAAGCTCTATATAAATGTTCTGTTTGTGTGTAGTTTAAAAGAGATTTTAAGGTAAGTACAAGTTTTTAATTACCTTGTTACACCTTCCTAAGAGTATTATTAATATTATAGCAGCGACTCTTCCCTTACTCGATACCCAATTTACCAAATTTTGACTCCAATGAATGAAAACTCCAAATATTCTCGTATAATGATGAAGAGGTTAGCTGAGTTAGTTCTGCAATATAATTTTTTTTTAATTTGGAAATAATAAAAATCTAAATGGACCGCAGAAAGAAAGATTTAAACACTTCAAAGAACTTCTTACACTAATATTCGGTAAGTTATTGATGGATCAATATACAGATATGTTTAATATTCAATAATCAGTTTCATATAAAATTTAAGGGTGAGATTGTTAATCTGGAAATAAAATACAACAAAGTCCAACAGAGTGCTCGATGAATGAATATGCTAATAAACCAACTGCTTGGAGGGAAAAGAGGAGAAAAAAATAACTAAACGAGGTCCACCAAATCGTGACGATATACCAGTGTTTACCATTTTAGTGTGTTGTTATACTAGGTACTTATATTTTTAATACATTTTGATACCAATTCTGTTCTTTTATGGTGTTTTCTTACTTCTGGTTTCTGCAGTGTAAATAATTATTATTATTGTGTTATTTGCGCTATTGCGTTCCATGATATAAAGAAATATAGGAATTTTATTTTTTAACCACTTAATGCATTTTATGGAAGAAAAATGGTACATTCAATACAAAACAAAAATGGAACAATTTTAAGGCTACTTCTCTTGAACTTACGATCGAGATACTTTTGGAAAATACAAAGTTTTGCCTTCCTAATTTTCGTTCTAAAAAGATATAATTGGTATTATTGAATAAATATTTCTTAAAAAGAACGAAAAATTATACATCAAAACTTGTATTATTTCCTAAATTCGTTCATAAGAAGTAGTTTTATCTAGCACAAGATGTATATACGAAGCAAAATACATACGTATACACGCGGTAGTCACAACTGCAATGTGTAAACATAGTTTAAACGTAATACACACGCACTGTGTATCCTACGGCACACTGTGTATCCCTTACTTTGTGTATACGTAAATGCTATACTGTGGCTACATTGTGTGAGGCGGACGTTTAACCTTTGTGCATACGTGTTGAACTACAATGTGTAAACGTAGCATATTTACATCGGGGGAATTGTGTCACCTTGTGTCTACATCTAATAATGTAAACACATCGTAAATGTGATTTGATGTGCTGTATGGGTTAATACTTCATTGTCAGAATATAAACGAAAATAAAATAAAAAAGTCTTTGCCCTGACCCGGATTCGAACTCTGAATCCTCGGTTCGTAGTCGGAAACTCTACGCACTGCGCTATGGAGACATGTTCGATTTATATTCACTACTAGAATTTATAGACTAAATTAAATAAAATATATAGGATCTTCTTCCGATGCGCAGTAGTGAGCGCAACGGGTATCGGCAGCCAGACGGGCCGCATGCTGTTCCAGAGAGCTTAGTAAAGATATATCAAAGAGTCAGACATCTTAAAAGACTTTCTCGAAAACGTTGCTAACTCTTAGACTGCAACATCAATCATTGTTTTTTTTTTGATACATTATTTTTTCGATTTATTAATTCCTAAAAAAATGACTCCTGTGCGCCAGGATGAAAATAAGCTATGATTATGTTAAATCTTTTTTCCATGTTCAACACTATTTTTGTAATGAAAAATTTTTCATTACCATCATCATACATCATTACATATAGTAATATTTGACATGAAAAAAAGGTTGATTTCACAAATAAGAAGATCAAAATTTGCTAATTTTTAATAGGAAAAAGAAAAGCCAAAAAATTTATATAATTTACTAACATTTCTCTATCGACAATTTGTTTTAGCATCAGTACCAATCACTACCCCTAAATCTTCTTACACAGTATTACCAACCATTTCATTCATTGCTGATCGCTCCGTGGCCAGACATTAATATAGATATTCGCATATTAAACAACAGATATCCAATAACCCTCACTTACCTTCGACAAAGTGGTCGGATGGGGATACAAATTCACCAGACAGCTCTCGCGCTTCAGGCGATAGTCCCAGCGTGTCTCCAAGTGGGGGATCTCCATGGTGTCGCAAATCGACTGCACGTGGCTGGCGGTGTGGGGCGATTGGGGACCGAAAATGGCGGCCACGCCCGTCCTCAAAAGATGACAAACTGCAAAAGAAAAAGACTGTCGTAAAGGTCGGTTTTGTGTCGGCTGTCAGACGGTGACGGATTTATTGGGTTAGTGTGTGTTTTTTTCGGGTACAAGGGATATTAAAGAATTTTATACTGTCATCTGGGGAAATACAATATAAGAATTAAACTTTTTAAGAAATATTTATATATTATTCTTTATTTAAAATATTCATAATGTTATTGTCATTTCTTTTTATATTTAATTTTCTAGTATTGTTATACAAATTTACATTTTTGATATCAAATTTATTTAACTGTACTTAAGTGACCAACGCAATCTAAATAACCAAGTCAAAATCTGGATTTACACCATTTTTTACACTTTTACGATACAAGAACGGTTGGTCCGATTTTAATAATCTCGTATTTGTTTGATTCGACTTTGTTTGAAGTAAAATAATATCTATTAACATATAAGAAGAATTGACGGAAAATAATTGTACAGAAAATTATGTTTTAAATAAATTTGGTTTGGAACTCTGCCATCTTCCACAATTGACAGCTCGTGTCGCTTACGCTTATAGCTTATTTGTAATAACTGATGTCCACTGTAAATCAGTGACATACTGAACATTATACTAAACATCTAAAAATATGATATTCAAATCTAGAAATATATTGTAATAGAGGATTGCTGATATGTACGGAAACGGTCGATTATTAGGTAAAATATACGAGGTAACGCAAAAGGTTAAATATAAAAGTTATAGAGCTTTTAAATGTCTATTAGCGAATAATAAAGTTCAGTATACAGGGTCGGTCATAAAGTCGTGGCAGATCAAAGTTTAATTTTTTCAAATGGAACCCCCGTACATTATTGCATATTTCACTTCATTTTTCAATTCTAAACAAAAATCAAAATAGACCCAACGTATTTCAAACCAACCGTTATTGACTTTTCGATTTAATTAATTTTGATGTGTTGTTGTAGGCATAAAAGTAAAGCACTTTTACTCCTAAGCATAAAAGTACGAAAATATGTTATTAAACTGACATAAAGTATCAAATTCAACGAGCGTAACCATAGTCTTTCGTTATATAATTACATACAAGGTATATTAAGAGTATTTCGAACGTTTCAAATTATTTGTAGCGTTTGAAAAAAATAGCATGTTCTATTCGAAGTAAGAATTACTTTTTGTGCCTCGACTGTATCACGGACTCTAACGCTCCTCCGTCAAACGTGGAGCCACAGCCTCGTTACAAAAAGTGTCATTTTTATACCTGATAAAACAATATACTATTTTAATTCTACAAAAATTACATTAATAGAAAAAGTCTCTAAAAAATCAAACAGTCTAAAAAATAAACGCAATAAAATTTCCTTTATACAAACGATAGATATCTCCATTTTTCTGTATCTTTAGATGACTCAAAAATATAAATAAAAAGTTTTTGGCAAGATATATATTTATACCAGCAAATATTAATAACCCCAGCAAGCGTTATATTATGCCATATGTATAAATATTGTTTAAGCTCGAAGAGCCCCATCTTTTCATGATGTTTCGACGACGTTACGTGCACTACGAAACCCCATCATCAATGAATCAAATGAAAATATCGTCCGATTTAAATAAAATTTGATATGTCGATAGATTGGACCAAGGCCAACTTAACCGTGTACGGCATGTGTCACTGTGACAGTTAGTTTTGACGTAAGAAACGTCAAAAGTTGATGTCGTCCGATTGCCACTAAATTTAGTGGGTAGGCTAAGTGAGCGACGGTACACCCAGTTCCACCCTGCAAATTTGGATACGACGTTTTGTTTACATCTTTATCAGGGTGGGACTAAGGATTTGATATTGAAGAAAAATGTAGGTCAAGTTTGGCATAATTGGGGACGGGATGACGCCCTCGATGTTTCGAACCGATGCCTCTAAATGGACGAAATCATCAGGATTTTTCTTAATTATGGGTCGATTGGAACTTAACTCGGCTCGTGGATAGAGGTACAAGAATGGAGTCATCAGACGGACAGATGGACAGACGGACAGACGGACAGAAAGACAGACGGAAGTAAGAAGAGCTTTCACTTCAAATATGCACACATAGTGCACATACAATTTTTTAATTTTTTTTTTAAGTATTCAAAACTTTTAAACTAGGTACAGGCTCTGGCTACCAATCTCAAGGTAGTGGGTTCGAATCCCACACCCGGCATTGCACCAGCCGACTATTTTTATTAAAAATTGAAATAGTTTGGGTACCTAGGTCGATTCAGTCTTAAATGAATACTTGGGATTCATAATCCTGAGGTAATAATAGGCGGTTGAAGCGTAGTGCTAGCCACATTACCTTCCTTGTATACCGAACGGTTCTGGTATGGCAAGCTGTACCTTGCTACTTCCAAGGCGTTAAACGCTATACAGAGAAGACCAGGCTACTAGTAACATAGCAAGTTGCCGGACGAATTTACGTTTACCCGTTTTGCGTTCGTACTCGAGATTCACTGCCGGCTAGTCGGCTGGTCAGGCAGTACGTAGTTGCAGTTGTGCTTGGACGGGTCGGTCATGACAGACTAGGAATACGACTAGAGGAGTGCCGAGTATTTATTATTTTCATTTTAAGTGTTTACCTTCACTTAAGGTAACATTTAAAATAAAAATACTTAAATATTTATTATTTGAGTGTGTTTACAAGCCAAAACTAAAAATATATAAATTTTCTAAACCCCCAAAAAACTAAAATATTATTCTAAATAAAAAAAAAGTTATAACAAGTGTTCAAAAAGACCATCTTCTTGTGCTAGACAGAAGCCTAGGCGGTCGTAAAATCCCCGTCTGACATTGGCTAACATATTAGGGCTAATAGTTTGGAAAGCCTCTCGTATTTTTACTTGAAGCTCATCCAGATTATTAGCCCTATTATGACCATACACTTTGGATTTTACATAACCCCACAAAAATAAGTCATTGAACTTACTAGATGTGTTGACTAGGCCCAAAAACAAAGGCATGGTCTAATGTAAAAATTACGAAAAAATGTTAGTGCCTTCTTTAAAACCGAATATTTCCAACAAAAATAAAGCTAATGAGATGAACCAAAAAACAAACCATCGAGAAACTTAAGGTAACATTTAAAATGAAAATACTTAAATATTTATTATTTGAGTGTGTTTACAAGCCAAAACTAAAAATAAATAAATTTTCTAAACCCAAAAAAACTAAAATATTACTCTAAATAAAAAAAAAGTTATAACAAGTGTTCAAAAACACCATCTTCTTGTGCTAGACAGAAGCCTAGGCGGTCGAAAAATCCCCGTCTGACATTGGCTAACATATTAGGGCTAATAGTTTGGAAAGCCTCTCGTATTTTTACTTGAAGCTCATCCAGATTATTAGCCTTATTATGACCATACACTTTGGATTTTACATAATCCCACAAAAATAAGTCATTGAGAGAAAGATCTGGTGATCTAACGGGCCACAAAATAGTTCCATATCCACTAATTAAACGGTTGGGAAAAGTATTGTTCAAATATTCGTGAACAATACGGGCATTGTGGGCAGGACAACCACCTCAGCAATTTGATTACTTGAAAACGTGGGATTTTGATTCGCGGTAGCACAAATCAACACTTGCTTTAACTCCTGTTCTTCATTAATCAACACATCAGGCTTTTTGTGTTTTTGTGGGAACACGCACCCATGTGTTTCAAAATTATTAATAACTCTTGATACAGTAGGTAAAGATGGAATTGGCTTGTCTACAAAAGTTTGTGGAAAAATTGTTTGTATATCCCGATAAGACCTATTTTGGAAATACCATTTTACAATTTGAATTTTCTCACAAACTTCGTAAACATCCATTATTTTACTTAAAAAATAAATTTTACACGAGAACTGTCGCGAGAATCTATGTATTCGTTTTGGCTATTAAAACACGAATAAATACAAATTCTGAAACATTCTTATCACATATCTACCTATTTTTATTTTATGGCATTTTTTCGCCTGCTTTTTATCCGGCGGACGGGTATACGCTAATTCGTCCGGTTCTGCCTATGTTACTACTACGGTGGTCCGGTCTGTATACGGGAGCTATTATTATTATTAGCAATTAAGTGCAACTTTGTCTCCTTTTAACCGATCTCATATCTCTTCTAGTTTTCGAGATCCTAGTTATGAGGCCCGAATTTGGGACACTCTGTATATTGACTACTAAAAATATTCGACATGAATTCTTTGATATCTAACAATTATTAATTTAAATTATAGCACACCCAACGAACCACCACTGTCTTTAAGTTCGGCCACAAGACATCTTTCATCTCGGTTGCGGTTCGTCTTCATGCTCCGTCGAGTTTACAGTCAATAACCCTTAAGGTGATGGAGCGAAAGTAAACTAATTACTTATGCATCGAGTAATGAGGAACACACTTACGCCGCGACGTTTCTGGTGGGGGTAAGTGGATGTAGCTGGGGTATATCCCGGATGGAGACGTCTCGCGTATTAAGGGATTAATATTAAAAGAGGGCGACAAAGCTGTATAAGAAAAGCTTTATGCTACCTTAATAAAGTGTACGTAAAATTTAAAGGTAATGAGTTTAATTAACAGAGAGTATTCATTTGATTTTTAGTAAGTTTTTAATATAAAAATTTGTGTGCGCATCTTTGAAGTGAGGACTCCATTCGGGTATAATAAGTATATTATACTCGAATATTTCGAATCGATGCCTTTAAATGGACGAAATCATCAGGGGTTTTCTTAATTATATAAGGGCGTCGGCCTGTAGCCCGTCCCATATTATGCCGAAATCGACCCACATTTTTCTTCAATACCAAATGCCTTAGTCCCACCCTAAAGAAGATGTAAACGAAACGTCGGCGTCGTATACAACTTTACACGGTGGGACCGTGTGCACCGTCGCTTACATAGCCTACCCATCAAATTTGGTCGCTGTAAAACATCAACTTTTGACGTTTCTTACGTCAAAACTTTTTGATGGTAGACGTAAGTAACTTGACGTAA